AAAAGGAGGAGGTCATGAGTTCAAACCTTGAAAGAGGTTTTATTTTTGTAAGATAGAAATATAAATTAGTGGTATGATGACATATGACGTGAGGTGGGGGTGACACATGGCATGTGACATGGCGCCACATGGAGGATGGCATGACACCACGTTAAGGGGTGAGGTAGCAACACATGGTAGGTAAAACCAATATTACTTTTCAATGGCAACTCTTTTGTCATCGCGGATTGACAGTTTTTGTGGTGACAAATGTCATTGTTGATACTTAACATTCAATGGCGACAACATTGTCGCCGCTGATGTGTGATTTCTACCGATTCTTAACTTTTACCGGTGACTATCTTTCTACAGTGACAAAATTTTTTTTTGTGGTGGCATTTGTCATTGTCGATTCTTAATTTTCAATGACAATTTTATTATGGCAGCAGATAGAATTAGCGACAAGAGCTCTCACGGTGACATTGTGCAACTTTTTGTCGCCACTAAAAACTTTCAGCAATGACTTTTGTTGCCGTTGAAAGTCAATTTTTTTATATTATATAATAGCCAATGACTATCATTATAGGGGTGAGAATAGATTAGGATCTTATTAGAAACTTACACCCTAGCCTTTTTTTGTGCTCAACTTAACTTACTTATTAAATAGACTCAGGTTGGGTTTAGACTTTTAATTAGACCTATTTTTTTAGAACCTAGCCTACTAATTCAACAGGCTGATCTAGTCACATGCACATGCACAAATTTTAATGTTATTACTTTATTATTGTATTGTATTGTCATTAGTAAGTCCTTTTAATTATTATATATTATAATTTATAAATAAAGTTATATATATTATATAATAATAGTCCTATAATATATTTAAGACATTTAAAACTAAAACGCGAGCATATTTAAAAGGCTTACTTTTAAGTACGCTTTTAAATAAACTTTTAGGCAAAGTTAGGCTAAGCTTTAGGTAGGTTTAAACTTAAGTGATGAAAAATGCCTTGTATATGCTTTAGGCTAGTTTAGACTATTGACTTACCACATAGGCTCCGGCTTATTTGGCACCCCTAATCACTATTTACTGATTTTTTTAATTCTAAGACTTTTTTTAAATTAATTAACACAACCAAAAATATTTTCTTTTTATTTTGTTTTGGAAAACAATTTTAAAATTGCATTGTAAAATAATTTTAAAAACAAAAAATAACATAAACCAAATAAGCCCCAAGAATGAAATTGTTGTGCTCAGAGCATGAAAAGAAGAAACTGTGTCATAGAATAACACAGTCCTACTCAATAATTAATAGGTGCATCTCATATTTCTTTGACAGATTAATTAACAACTTACAGAAGTCAAGAACACATAGTCCAAATAGGAAGAAATATGAAAGAACTAACCTCGGTCAAATTTAGAAGAGCTAATCAACTGGAAAGACACCCCTTGGCCAAAACACTCACTGGCACAATCCATCAAAGACCCACCAACGTCAGTCAAATCGAAGGTGTATTCCTTCTTCACCAACACCACTGTCCCTTGGATCTGTTTGTCCTTGTTGCGCCCTAAAAGCCCAGACAACATTGTTACCTTCTTCACTCCAACACACTGAAAAACTGAAGGAATTAAGCTGCAGCTGGAAGAAGAGTAATCACAGGTCGCAAGTTGATAAGGTTCGGAGGGTATTAATAGAGAAAAATCTGCATATCCATAAATTTTCATTTTCAAAAATATATAGTATATTTTTATTTTTATTTTCAGTTATCAATGCATTTCAGTGAAAGACTTTACATGTAAGAGATAAAATGAGAAAGAGATTTTACATGTATTAAGGAGAAATGCTTATATTTTTTTTTAAAAAAAAACTTTCATTGGTCTTTATGTAATTTTCAAGGTCTTGTTTCGTTTTTTTAGTCAACTAATAATTAATATTAACTTTTATTAACATTAGAGTTTAGAGTTAGATTGTACTATTTTAAAAGAATAATTTGCTCTTTTACTCCAAAAAAAAAAAACCATAATTCAAAACGAGACACCAAAAAAAAGAAAAAAGGGTTATCTGTCTTAGGAGTTAGGAGCGATAAAATTAGAACAGAAGGATGTGTTATTTAAAAGAAAAGTAATTAATGTAACCCTTGATTTTTTCCACAAAAGAAAAGTAACTTTATTATTTTATTTAAAAGTCGATATTTAAACATCGAAGGATAATAGAAAGGTAATTATAGTAACTCAAATCAACTTGAATTAATGTTTCTATTTTTTCTCAAAAGAGAAGTAATTAATTTTTTCTTTTTTTCTTATCATTTGGAGGTATGATTATGAAGGGTAATCTGCATTAAAAAATTAACTTCAGTAAGCATATCTTTTATGTCATCTCGTTTTACTTTTACAGCGTCCCGAGTACTAAAACTACCCTTGCAAAGGAGGGTGCTTAGTTAACTTTGGAAATTTTATGGAACCAAAAAATAAAATGTAATTTGAACTGAAAAAGTTAAAAAGAAATAACGCGTTCCAGCTGGCACTAGTACAAAATATAAAATTTATACCCCCATATCTACACCGGTTATTGCGTCTATAGTGTAGAAGTCAGAGGCGGTGGCAATTTCGTAAATAAAATTTTTTTCACCAATATCTACACTGGATATACCTTTAAACCAGTGTAGATACACACATCTACACCAGTTCCAGTTATACCTGGTGTAGTTACATTAATATCTACACCGGTTCCAATTATACTCGGTGTACTTTCATTAATATATACACCAGTTCCTTATTAAACTGGTGTAGATATATTTAGTAGTTATTTACTATATTTTTTCTTTTTTTTATTAACTTATCTACACCAGTTTCTGAAACCGGTGTAGATGTCTTTATTCCATAGAACCATCAGCAACCCCCTACTAATTTGTGCGGCTTTTATGTGTTGAGACATGCATACATATCATCACCATTGGCCTGACTGAGTTCATTAAGGAGGTAAATGTAATTTTAGATATTATTTATTTTTTCCTCTAATATAATTACTGATTTAATTCCCTTATCCCTAATCTTTTTAGATGTTCAATGATCCATCTCCATTTTCGGATTCAGAGATCCATCAAATAAGGCAACATTGGGGACTCTTCATGTTCGATCTTCATAATAGTCATCCTTTAGAAGAGTGAACTATGTAGTTGTAAAAATTAGTAAATATAGTTGTGTGCAGGATTACTTAGTTGACAATTTATGTTTTATGTGTTTGGAATTGTACATAATTTCAAATTCATTTGATTTGAACAATATATGATTGTCTGGCTGGCTGATTGTTATTTGGCTATTATATGTTTGATTAATGCAGGATTTAAATTGCAGCCTATAATGGTTGGGGTAAATGAAAAAAATAAAAAAATTTTTACTTAGAAAACAAATATCTACACCGGTTATAGATATAACAGGTGTAGATATATTATTATCTACATCGGTTCAACGAATAATCGGTGTAGATAATAATATATCTATACCTGTTATAACAATAACCGATGTAGATATATAGGTTATCTACACCAGTTTAGGCAATGATCAGTGTAGATATATGATTATCTACACCTGTTATAACAATAACTGGTGTAGATATATAGGTTATCTATATCAGTTTAGGCAATGACCGTCAACTTTTAAAAAAATTACATATATATTCATAATTAATGTTATCTACACCGAATTTATAACCGGTGTAGATATATCTGTTAACTACACCAGTTAAATAACCGGTGTAGATAACTTCATGATATCTACACCGATCTTATACCGGTGTAGATAAGCTATTTTAATCGGTGTAGATTTGCCTGTGTGTACTAGTGTGGCCTGTTTTTGAGTCCAATACATACAGTACGTGTTTCAGAGTTTGGACCCCACTACACTGCAATCCTTCGCAAAAAGCAATCTCATCTGTACCTCATTACTCTAGCCGGTATTTAGAATGTAGTTTTTGATTTAAAATAAACGTGGCCGATCAAAAGAATGGAAAATAATTAGAAGAATGGGTGGGTGAATGAATACAATTTATACACATATATAACCATAACTAAGTGTGTGGTGGAATGTGGAAGGAAGAAAGGGGGGAGAAGAATTGGTAGGCATAAAGGAACATGCACGTCAGGTTTCTTCAGATTCTGGGTCTTCATATGATAAGAATAAGTAATAACATAGCAAGTCTTTTATTCCATGATCGCTGAAACCAGCTGGCCTTCTTCCCCCTTTCGGCCTCGATCTCCTTCACACTCACCCTGCCCCGTCCCCATCTTCATTCTTTTTTTATTCTCTCCTTATTATTTTTTATCTGTTTAATATATTACTACAGATATGGTCTATCTAGACACCTCCGTGTCTGTGGACATAATTGCATCACATATATACACTTTTTGTCCTAACTTGGCTAGCAATAATATATGATAGACTAGGAACTCGGCAGTCTAGTCCTTGTTATTGTTGTCAGTCTATTCCTGTTGGAAGTCAGCCTTATGGTCTCCATCGTCACCGTCAGTTTAGTTCTAGTGGAAGTCGGCCATCTGGATGTCATTGTTGGTCCAATCCAGTGGAAGTCACCCATCCCGTTCCGGTCAACGGTGGCAACGTGTTTCCGTCAACTTTGATGGTTTGACCAATTAATTTACAATTATTTAAGCCTAATTTTTATAATTTATTTTTCACTAACTAATTTTTTTTTGAAGTGTAACTACTCCAGGTAAATCAATTTTTTTTGGACTAAGTTGTAAGGATGCATTTGGTTTCAAAGCTATAAACTTTAATTTTTGTGAAAGGTAAACTTTGGCCACCCTTGGTTATGGAAGAGGAAGGTCAGGTCGGGTGTTAGATCACGATTATTATCATTAGCTGTTGTCCGTAAAATCTCTTAATCCTTAGTGAAAATTAACGGCTAAAAATATGAAGAAAAGGTACATTAAGGCAAATTAAAATATAAAGCACTAAAAACAGAGTAATTATTGAATCAGTTAAGAGTTCAGTAAGTGTCATTTGGTCCAATCATGATCAGGTCGAAATTAATCAGATCAATCATGATTTAAATAACATTCATTTTATTCCATGGTCAAACCATAGATATGAGATGTCCATTGGGCATATCATCCAACAAAACAACTTCATTGTTCAATACTACTAGCTCACATCACTCTTTCTTCATTCTCTTACAACACAGTACCGTTGCTTCATGATTACATATCAACATCTTCTTCCTACAGTTCCGATTTTGATGATGATTCGGAGCTGAATAAACAAAAAAATAAAATATTAAATGATATGAGGAATGCTCAAAAACAAATAAGAAAACTAATGGTGGGCTACTATCGTGTGGGAAAGACTTGATTCTACTTAAAATTTAAAGAAAATTATGGGGTAAAAGAGAAAATTGGCACCCCAATTATAAGTCTAAAAGTGTCCAGAACTCTAAATTTATTTTCTTGTGCAATGTTCATATTCTGATTCAACTTTTAAAAACATTGCAAGCTGACCATGTTAATAATAAAAATTAACTTTGGCCATTAGTTCACTAGAAAATAACAGAAAATAACTTCAAATACATAAAAATATCAAAAAATTACATAAAAGGACCAAAATTATAAAAAGGACTGAGAAAATTTTATTGGTTCTTTTCTATAATTTTTTCAATGTCTGTTTTTGTTATTTTGTGGTTAACTAACAGTCAAAGTTAACTTTTGTTAATGACAGAAGTTAGATTGCATAGTTTTCAAAAGTTGAATGAAAAAATTGCACAAAAAATGAATTTAAGATCCCAAATGTTCTTAGACTTATAGTTTAGAGGTAAATTTGTTCAATTACCCAAAATCATATTGGAAAAGCTAAGCCAACTCAACTCAATGATGTTTATAAATCTGATACCACAGGTCCAAACACCTGATAGTTGTATTAAAAAAAGGAAAGGTTTCTTTTTTTCTTTTTTTTTTTTTTGCATGGATGATATAATGTTAAAGAAAAAGTATATTAACGGTGAAATTAATTAAGCGAACTTACACAAGAAAAAGGTCGTGGTTTGATTCTGGCGGTGAGGCAAATATGAATTTTTTATTACAATTGCCTGTTGTTCTGCAATCTTCTAGATCATTATTAGCAAAACAAAGGCGAATCTCATAGAGCTGAAATTTTCCATCCACATCATCTTTGCATGCTAGGAATGCGTTCTTCTTTGTGACGTTCTTGATGGCATTCAGTACATGACTGGAATTGTACTCCGTGGTTCCATCTGGGTGAATACCTAATCATAAAAACCCCACAATTTATTTGAAATTTGAAATTCACTATATATGTGATATCTGAATTTGGTCTCTTCTTCCTAGTGATATGGACTGCATATACGTTAAAAAAAAAAATGAGTCTTGTTCTAATTCTGTATGTTACAGACTCTTAAATTAGACAAAACACAAACAGATCTGCATCGATACTATAAAGCTTTTCTCTTGTCTAGCTCTATCTTGTGGTCTATCCAAAAATAGGGAGAGAACAAATTAAATAGAGAAGAGTAGAGGATGTCACGTATTAATTCAAAACTTTAAAGCTCAAGTTTTTAGGTCTTTTCTTGAACGACATTTTCTTGTATAACATACAGTCATGTCTTTAATTCTATATGTATGAATGAATTGACATACGAAATAGAATTCTGACAAGAATGAAGTTAAGATGTACGTACATACCATTGTCTATCATATTGTTGAAAATAGCTTGAGCATAACGTTTTGTGTGGTCGATTGTCTTTTCAAGATATTCTTTTGCTGCAAAATTAGAACATGTTCCGTGCTTTATCCACTCATATCTCCAAAACCGTTTGCTACCGCTGAAGTTCTCAGGATCTTCTAAATTTGGCCAATATTCCAACAGATCACCTTTCAACTCTTGAAACTGCAAAATAGAGAGCATGCATGCGTCCATGCCAAATAATAGTCAGGTGATATTTATTACAATCCATAAGAGCAAAAGAATATATATATATATATATTGGGGTGACGAAATTACAATATGATCATCCTTGAGGGATGAGTCGTTTGGCATACAATCCTCTGGGTCATCATCTCCTCCATAGTTAGATGGCCAGAGCCCATGAATGGTAAACTTTCATCCCGGCGGAGATGGCATGCATTTCTTATTTGGAGTCTTGCAAAATGCGTTGGTCCAAGTCAAGGCTAGCTTGAAATAGTCAAATCGCCGACCAGGTGGCCGAGCATCAGATGGTGGAGGCGACAGTGGAGGTGTTGTAGAAGGAGGAGGAGACGGTGGAGGCAGTTGTGACCATAAAAGGTTTGTGTTGATATTGGCATTGGAGTGGTAGAAACCCCAGGCTGTGAATAACCCTGCAAAAAACACTAACACTTGTTTAAAGCTGTTCTTCATGATTGAGTGCCTTTTCAATTTCTTGCTCATGCCTTGTTTTTATAGCCAAAGTCTTCAACATTATGTAGTAGCTTTTTCAGACATTACTTCCTCTGGTTTGAAATGTTTTAAGGCACTTCGCAATAAGCCACCGAAAATATATTAATTAATTAATTAATTAATTAATGAGGCAATTATTTAATTTTGAAGACCTGTCTTTTGCCACCCGTGTCCATTAATTTATGATTCGCTGTCTAATTTAAAGTATAAAACGTGGAGCAGTGATCTTGGGTATTGAAATCATGTATCATCTCACAGTCAGAAACAATATTTAAACTTTACATGTTGAATTTGATTCACCACGCGTGACGTTAGAAAGGTGGCTATAATTCAGTCAAAAAAGAAAAAATAAAATAAAATAAAAGAAAGGTAGCTATAAAACTCAATAGCATAAACTAATGTTATATTTTTATATTTGTCCTTATAACAGGGTGTTTTATTAGAGTTGGTTGATTTATTTATCAAAGATATTTTTAAAAAAAATCATTAATTACAGATTAAAAAACTAGAAGTATTTTATACTTTTAAACATCTAATTAGTAAGCTCAAAAGAATGCCTTAAATTTTTTAAACAGAAAGAGTAAATAGAGATTATAGTCTTGGTTGTCATAAATTATATATTCCAAGTGGTTGGTTGGCGACTTCCACGTTGATCGGCTATGTTCAGAGGAGTATTAAATTCAACATGATGTTGAAGATAGCTATAAAACCGTAGCTAGGTAGCAAGCACGAATGGTGACGCCAGAAAGAGCAACACATCACAATCAATCATGAGGATCTCAAAACAAGTGTTGGTGCTTGTTCTTCCAATACTTGCAGGGTTGTGTTTGTATCACTTCAACACCACCACCGAAAACACAAACTTTGTTTGGTCTTCATACACCACCAAGAAAACCAACCAGCAGTTTAGTAACGTCCAACCACAACCAGGATTCGATTATTTTTTGTTGGCCCTACAATGGCCAAACGCTTTCTGCAAAACTCACCAAGGTTGCAATCGAAACCCTCCAACCCACCAAAATTTCACCATTCATGGTGATGGACCCCATGGCATGGGTGACATAGCATTAATGGCAACGAAGCTTGAGGATGGTAATCATGAGCATGGTGACATAGAAGGAATCCAATACTTTCAATCCAACGTACCTAAAGACCCATTACAATATATTGGAGGTCCAATGATAAGAGCCCGAACTAAAGCCATGAGGCAAGCCTTGTTCAGTCTTGTGAAAGAAGTTCAAGAGCTTGGAGAGCATTGGGGCACTCCTCTCAAGCCCAAAGGAGAGCATCTATATGTGTATAATGTATTTAAAATCCAAACTCATGAAGAGTCAAGCCCAAGAGATGCAGACCTTAGCCCAATGCAAGGAAGACTACAAATTGAGCCTCTTGCAAGCAAGGAGGCATGAAACCCTAGTAAAGAAGTCAAGGGTGGCGTGATTTTAAATCCTTTATAATCCCTTGATTGTCTCCTAAATTATTTCCTATTTTAATAGTCCTTTGATTTGATTTTCTATATTGAGTCTATTCAAAAGTTAGAACTAATTATAGTATTAATTTTTAAATTTTGTAATCCCATAATTTTAGGATCACATCTCCTAAATTATGTGGCTGAATATTTTATCATTATTTTATATTATTTCTCCTTTTAGTATTAGGAAATTAGGGTTTTAATTTTAGGAAATATTTTTTTTCTATGAGCCTATATAAATTAGGCATGCTCCCTATTGTAAACAATACAGAAGTTGAATGAAATTATTCATTTTAGAGTTTATAACTCTAGTGAGCCTTAGTGCTTTGTGGTGGCATCCCGTGTGAGAAACAGACGTGATCAAGAGCGTGATCAACTCTTGTGGTGTCTTCGAAGGTTGAGGTTCCTAGAGGCAGGTGCTCTAGAGGATCTTCGCCTTGATCATTATTCTATTATTTACTTCATACCTTTCTTTATTTCCGTCATAAAATTTGTCCCTTTCCTTTTGTTCTTGTGTTTTTGTTGTTTCAGGGTTTTGTTCCTAAATTAGCACGATTTTGCTTCCGCATCCCCTATCAGATTGGCATTAGAGCTTTAGTTGCTAGTTTTGGTTTAAATTCTTGTCCTTCCTTCTTCTTTTTCATCTTGAGTTATTTCTTTTTGTGATCATCTCTTATCTACCCCATCTACTTCTATCTTTTGGTTTTTTTCTTCTTCATCTTTGTGACTTTTTATCTTATGTGAGTTTTTATTTTATTAGCCTTCTCAAAAAAAAGAGAAAAAAAAAATACCTAGAAATTCGTGCAAAAAAAGGCAAAAAAGAGTGTTAGTGTGTCAAGAAAAAAAAAATCCGAAAATTCAAAAAAGAATTTACAAAAAAATATATTGCTGTGAGTTATGACTGTAGAAAAAGGCTATTCTTGAACTCTAAGTCACCAAGAGGTTGCCTAAAGAGAAAAGTCAACTTGGGTGATAAGAAAGTCTTATATGTTGATCACTTTCTTATTTTTAATTTTTGGTAGCACTTTTCAAATTCTCTACTCTCTTATTTGCTATTTGTGCTACTCTCTTATTTTATTTAGTTTTTTATTTTTATCTTTGACTCTTTGACTCTTTGACTTTTATTTCTTTCTTTCTTATTTTTGTTGTCACATGTGGTTTTTCCTTTAACAAGCTTAATTTTATTTAAAAATTTTGCTTTCCTATTTGTTTCAAAATTGCAAAAAAAAAAAAAATCCTCTTTTTACCTTATGCTTGTTTTCTAGTTTCCTTAATTTAGAAGATATTCACTTATTGTTCCTTAGTTTCTTGATTTGTGTTGGTTTCACCATTGAATTCTATCCACAAGCTTAGTGAGTGGTAAAAGGCAAGTGTGTTTTTCATCATTAAAAAAAAAGCCATTAATTTTTTTTTTGTGAAACACGAGTGACTTTATCTTGAGAGTAAATACGTGAGTTTGTGTGTGTGAGGACCTATTTTTATCTTATATGGTTTCTAGTGCTTCTGTGAACATGAGTAACAAGGATGAATCCCCTTGTATTGATATGAACTCTGTTTTAAAACTTATCAAAACACAGTTGCAGCAGTTTCACTTGGAACTTGATCACAGGTTCCATAAAGAGGATAAAGATGAGCCGGAGACTTCCTCTTCTAAAGGAAAGAAGCATAAGATCCCCAGTGATGATGAGGAGTATGAAGAACCCCCTTCTCCTAAGGGAAAGAAATCCTCAAAATGTGGTGTTGACTTACCGAACCAAAAAGTAAAGTATCCTTCATTCAAGGGTAGCAACAATCCAGAAAAATACCTTGATTAGGAAATGAAGATGGACCAAATCTTCATGACTCTTGATTTGTCTGAGTCAAGGAAGGTAAAAACTGCTTCTTTGAATTTCACTGACTATGCTGTTTATTGGTGGCAAGATTTACAGTACAAAAGAAGCCAACTTGGGAAAAAGCCCATTAAAACGTGGGAGAAGCTTAAAAAGGTACTTAAGAAAGGCTTATGTCCCCAGCTACTACTATACAGAGCTGAATAGAAAATTGAGAATGTTTTCTCAAGGATCTATGACAATGGAGGAGTATGTGCACGAGTTGAATATCTTGAAGTTTCGTGCAAACATTCAAGAAAATGAACGTGAAGCAATGTCAAGAATTATGGATGGCTTGAGGCCAGAGTTGAGAGATAAGCTTGACTTGTACACTTTTGTGGACAAGGAAGAGCTCATACACAAGGCTATAAAGTTGGAGTAGAGAAATAAGAACAAACATTCCAAGTCCTCTTGGAAAGACTCCAAGACAACTTCCAAATGGAAGGATTCCAAAGCCAAAGATACATCTCAGGCCAAGGAAGAAATAAAGACCAAGTATGAGGGTAAAACTTCTAACCCTAAACCTTCTTCTTATTCATCTAACACTTCTCCTATTAAGTGTTTCAAATGTCATGGTGTGGGCCACATAGTGAGAGATTGTAGCAATAAAAGGGTTATGATCTTGAGAGATGATGGTGGCTATGATAGTGTGCATGAAAGTGATAAAGATGATGCTGATAATGTTGATGATGATTCTACCTCCCATGAATCAAATGATGAGCTTGAATGCAATGGTGTAGTTGACTCTATCTTGATGGCAAGAAGAGCTCTCAATATTCAACTAAAGGAGGATGATGAACATAAGCAACACGAGCATATTTTTCACACTAGATGCTTCATCAAAGAGAAAGTGTGTAGCATGGTAATTGATGGTGGTAGTTGCACTAATGTTGCTAGCACTTTACTTGTAGATAAATTATCTTTACCTTTAATTCCACACCCTAAGCCCTACAAATTGCAATGGTTGAATGATTCTGCTGAAATTAGGATTTCTAAGCAAGTGTTGATTACTTTCTCTGTTGGAGTTTATACTTGTGATGTATTATGTGATATAGCCCCTATGCTTGCTGGACACTTGTTATTAAGTAGGTTTGGTAGTTTGATAGTAAGGCTACTCATGATAGTTTTAGAAATTGTTACAAGGTGCCTTTTAAAGGCAAGACTGTTGTATTAAATCCTCTTAGGCCCATCCAAGCCTATGAAGATCAACTAAAGATTACTCAAGATTACAAGCAAAGGAGAGATCTCCTTGATTGTGGCATGAGTGAGAGAGAAAAGAAAGGGAGTATTACTTTACTTGAAAATCAATCAAAAGAGAGGAAAAAGAGTGGTGAGAAAGTGAGAAAAGAAAAAAATAGAATGGTGGGAGTGAAGGAAAATAGTGAAAAAAAATATTATTGTGTGGGAAAAGTAAGATTCAAGAGGCTTTGATGAGTGAGCAAGCCCTTATTGTAATTTCCAAGAATATTTATTTTCTACTAACACTTTTGACCCCACTTTGCCTTCTAGTGTTGTTTCTGTGTTGCAAGATTATAGAGATCTATTCTCTGATGAAATTCCTGATGGACTTCCTCCCTTAAGAGGAATTGAGCATAGGATAGATT